CTATTCTGTCTTATTTTTGCTTTATTTTTCCCAGTGGTAGGGCCAGCCATGACTAAAATGATTTCCAAAGGCAGAAGTGGATAATTCAATTGCTATGAAAGGCCGCATTCTCTCAGCAAAAATCTGTTCATGGCTGCATGCTTGCAGGCATCTCTATTTCAGAGGGCTCCTTCTTTTTCCCCTCTCCTGTTTCTCCTTCCCTCAAAGGCTGCCAGGAGTGGCATCAAATCCATTCTGAAAACTTGTGGCAGTGGGAAGGGGGGCTTGATATTAAGGTGGCCATCCTTCCTCTTAAGATACTTTGACAACAAATTGCTGTATATTTTTTTATCCTGCTTCTCATTGAATTAGATCAAATAATCTCATAAATTTGCCTGTGCAGTTTGTAAAAGAGGTAGGGCTTGTACCAAGTTCAAGGCCAAATTTTCAAATCATGAGAGCCAGAGCTTTATCTGGCCCTGCAAGTAGGGATTGTCTGTGTTCTTGTAATGTATGATTCTTCATCGTGGTCTCTGTGATTTATATATGTGGGTTATTCCCCAGTCACAATCTTCCAGAGTTTACAGAATTGTTCAGCAGGGGCCTTGTTCTCCATGTATACTGTGCCACTGTCATTGATCCACAGGACCCTCCCTGTTCCTCCATGAGTGGAGCATGAGTGATCTTTCCATATCTGATCATTATTTATTGCTTATTTATGATTCCCTTGTTTATACCACCACACTGCCAACAGAATGCTGCTAGTTTACCACATAAATGTCTCTAATACCTCCTCAGTTTATTCACCATCTCCTTTCATGTTCAGATTGGGGATCAAGCACCCACCTCTCTTTTAGAAGGTCCCCACTCCTACAGAAAATAAATTGGTAGGATGGCACAAGCCCTTAAGGTTCAACAGTCTTCTCAGATAATAGAGGACCTGGTATAGCAGTTATTATAAGATACTAGAGCTTTACTAATCATTCAGTCTTAGTACTTCAGGTACTTTCAGTCTTGAAGACAAGAAGAAACTAGTTTCTCTGCTGTTGACTTTTCACCGCATCAAAACTTTTTATAAAGTGAAGGAAGAGAATGCTTGTTCTTATTCTAACATCCACCATCTATTGCTTACCATCAATAATGTTTTGCACCCATAGATAAGGAGAACATAAAATTGGACAGTCTTGTATACAGATTATCCTTCTTCAGAGTTTTCTCCCTCCATATTGTCAGTTATTACATATTCATGACAAAATGTGATCATTTTCATTAGAGTAGGTATCCCTATTCCTATCACATCTCCCAGAAGACAAAAGGCAAATAATCTGGTTTGTTCAGGCTGAAGCAGTGTGATTTGTCAATAAGAATTAAATATGGCTTGTAATGCAGTTGACTCAATAGCCAAACTCATGGCATCCTCCATTGCCTTTTGTTGCCACGCTGGCTCCACTCCACAGCCATTGAAAGCTAACGTTAGAACTGAGGACTTTTCCTTCAGTGAAGATGGATTATTTAGCAGTGAAGTTAATGAAATCTGTTCAACATGCAGAGAGAATCTGTAGTCACATCCATGTCTTGGCTAAAGGTCACCAGTTTGTTTTGTTTTGTTTTAATGGAAAGGGCATAGTGTTTTTGCCCTGGACCACTCATCAGAAATTGAAACTACTTACACACTCAGTAATGCAGAGCCACAGGTGCCAACCTCAAGGCTGTAAGGAGTGACTTTGACCTTGATAATTCCCCTATTGGCCCTTTGGGACCTGGATCATTTTCAAAGTATATGGGTTTCCATAATCTTTGGGCTCTGTTGATCAATCTTCAAAGTTATCTTATAGAGTTCTAGGCTAACATCACACCAAATTGCTCTGCAGAGACACATAATCTCTGTGTGTTCATTCACAGATGGCTGCTTGAAGAACTGCAGTTACACATTAGCAAGTTCTTCTTTATGTAACTCTTTGCACACTTAATCCAACTATATTTCCACTGGAATTGGTGTAGCTAAAAGAGCATGCTTGAAGGCTATCCATTCTAGGTAATGGTTTGAAACCCCTGAACAAGACTATCCTGCTATATCCAAGCTTACCAGTATGGAGAGAAAACAACCTTGAATCCCCATGGATGCTAATGCTATTTCACTGACAAAATCCTGATATAAATGAAATTTCTCAACACTTTGACTATGTAGAAATGCTGTTCCAGTTTAGAAAGGATTCTTCATTAGTCACTGAATTAGATTAATGCAAATCACATAATTCATGTCATTTGCACAGTGACATCATGATTCATGTGATGTCACTTGCCACCTACTGCAGACACCCATGACCCTTACATTAAACAAACTATGCCTTGCCTCATTACTGCTATTCCACCATGACAGCATTAACTGAGATCCCTCCCTTTTTCTGCTTGCAGAGCTGTTAAACAGGTAAGATTTCTCTCTCATAAGGTATCAGAGAGTGTGATTTTTGTCTGTGTCTCCTTCTGAAGTATCAAGCATTGTTTTTTTATTCTGGAAATATTTGATGGGTGCATTTGGGTCATATTCCAGGTCTAACTTAAATCTCCCTTAATGTTTGAGATTAGATATCCATTTGGGGGCATTAAGCTGCTTCTTAAATCATTTAGTGACATACACTAAGATGGGCATTATTTCATGTCATACCTGACTCTCTATAAATGTGTAAATGTGTTGAGTGACATTTGTAAAGGATAGAAAGGATATAAATGTGTTAAATAAACAAATGAATTGGTAGCTAACCACACAGATAATGCTGTTTAATGAATAGCAGACTGGATAAGGTAAGCAACATGATCCTTTCTTAAATTCCAACTCATACAAGAGGAACCAGGCTACTTAATTCCAGCTCTTGCTTCTTCTTTGGTTTCCCAGTATTTTGAAGGATTACAGCCGCATCCGCTGCCACAAGCATCCGCAACAGTCATCTGTTACAACAGTGGTGAAGTCCCATTGCTGGGGTGTCAGCTATGCCCCTGCGCCCAATGACATCATCTGGTAACGTCTCTTTTTTCCTCCCAGCTTGGATTTCTGTAGTGTACAAGACCAATAAATAAATAAATAAAAAACCCTGTAAAAAATATTGAAATGTTAAGTTCTCCCATTGCAGGTTTTGTATGTTTCCTGAATTGCAAATGAGGCCTTTAGTCAAGACATTACACAGCACAATTAGTTGCCATGCTAAGGTGGGTGGGTAGGGTGTGATATAAATTAAAAGCCAGCACATTTCAGGAGAAATATATTGGAGAAAGCGTGCCTAGGAGTGGCACCAAGTACAAAAGAAATATTGAATAAATCTTGTGTATTACTTGTAAATATTGATGAACCCAGTGATTAGCCCAGGAATTAGTAACACAGCAGCTGCAGGGATCACAATCTCCAGGGCACTTCTGAATAATATTAATGGAACACCCAAAAAGTATTCATTCATTGGGTTTATAATAGACTGAGCAGTGTGCACACCCAATACAGTAATCATGTTAAAAAGAGATATATAAAAATATAAATCCCAAATACTCCAGGCGTCATTGACAGCAAACCACATGTAGATATTCGCCTGAAAGGATAACCAACAATACATCAAATCCCAAAGACATACTAAAGAAACCAGACCTTTATAGATTTCTGAAAACTTGGCCAGGGTAGGGTTGGTCTAATCTCTAATCTCTGGAAGAACTATTCTAGAGGAAAGGAGGGGAGTGACTTAGAACACCTTTCTCTGCGGTCATTGCAGAGTCCTGGAGAAGAACCTTTTCCTTTTCTTAACAAATGAGCAGAAACAGAATAGTTCCAAAGATGTGCAGTTATGGAGTGATAAAGGACTTTATGGGTAACAAGCCTCCCCTTGAATTGGACCCAGAAACTGACCGGTTACTGGTGCAGCTCTCAAAGCAGTGCTGTTATATGGGTAAACTCACTGGCATCCATAACGGTCGCCGCATTCAGAATCAACTGAGTAGTCTTCAAGGGTAGCTCCATGTGGAGCACATTGGAGTAGTCCAAATGGGAAGTGACCAAGGCATGAGTGGCTTTGTGGAAGGCTTCCTGCTCCAGAAAAGGTTATAACGGAAGTACAAAATGAATGAAACAACATGAATAAAATAATACCACCATCCACAAACTAGTGGCTTTGTTAAAAAGGCAAAGTTTGGTGATGGGCAAAATTCTGAATGATAGGCAATCTATTTTTTTTCCCCAAAAAGTTGGAGTCCTCATAAATACATATGCACCCCTCATGTTATTCCCTTTCAGAGTTAGGAATATTATATAAAATGCAGAAAGAGATAAGTAGTAAGCAAAAGAAATGGAATATAAGAAATACAAGAAAAGGAAAGGAAATTTAACAAAATCTGGTTTCCCCCACACAATTTACTGTACCTTTTCATACTTTTCTACCCTTGGAAACCATCCTACTTTCCACCACATCCATACACCAGTTCATACTTTTTGTTGTTGTTGTTCTTTAAATTTCTTGTGTCTCTTTTTGGAGATTTAATTCATTCTATCCAGGTATGACTTTCTCAATCTTCACCTTCTCTGGGGCCCATTCCCTTCATACATTTGCTCTGCTGTTTCAGTTGCCATTCATTCTTTCGATATGACCAAATCACCTCAGTGTACTTCTTTCATACTGATCACTCACTTTTGCATTCACATTCATTCAGTATCCAAATATTTTTATCAAAATAGAGCAATTCATTTATTTGCTCTAATTTTTTTTTATAGATAATGTGCAATCATTCATTTCATGTTTCATTTCAAACACATCTACCTTGGTCTTTGATACATTAATTTTCAGACCCATATTCCTCATTGCATCATATACTCCAGGTGTTTTCAAACTTTTTCAGGCTATAGAACCTGTTAATTTAAAATCATCGTCATCATCATCAACATCAAACCCCTAATCAGGAAGCAAAGCTCTAGTAATAGAAATTGACTGTGTTTGAATAAACTTTTTTTTTTTTTTTTGCTCTTATTCTCTCACAGAACCCATCAAGTTATTGCAGAACCATAGGATTCCATGAAACACAGTTTGAAAAACCCTGATATAATCTATTCAACATTCACAGTAAAATCACTTGGGTTCTTAGCCAACCACACAGTATAGCTTTCATAGAAAAATACACATACATTCACTACTTCAACCAATACACCTCATAACATCTCCATAAATATTCCTTATACATTTAACATAAGTAAATTAAACAATCAAGAGGACCTCACAGGTCTGAATCATGTTGAACTGTTCATTAAGCAATTTGTTTATTCTCTGCATGCTTAACTTCGAACACATATCACTCTTACTGTATTCAGCCACCTTCAATTCCATACATGCAGAAAACATTCCATATTCAAAATGGTTCACTTTATCATAATTTTCTCTAAATCAACAAGACAGCAGCAAATTTTCTCAAGGACATACAGTAGTATGTCTCGGAGACCTGGTCTGCTTATTCCTTGCTCTAAGTAAAGCCCCACTGGATTTCCCAAATTTGTCTCATTGTCACCTTTCCTATCCTTTTAATCACAATTGAATTAAACAACTTCCCAGGCATGCTTAACAAATTAATCCCCAGATAGTTTCTGCGTTAATTCTTGCTACATTTCCCTACATTCAGTTTTGAGCACTGCATTTTAGAAAAGATACTGACAAGCAGGAACATATCCAGAAGAGAACAATCAAAATGATAAGAGGGCTTGGAAAGAAAAATGTAAAGGGATTGGTTGGAGGCCCTGGGTATGTTTAGCCTGGAGAAGAGATGTCTTCTTGCCCCAAAGGGAGGCATTCTTCACCTGAGGGATCAAATCCACAGTTTGAAAGTAATCTCAGATCCTGTGCTCCCCCTGAGGTTCAGATTACCACTTCTTACTATTTGAGGATGATTTGCCAACTGTACCCCTTTTGATGAGGGATGATGTGACTTTTGTTACTCATGCACTGGTTACTTTCCAGTTAGATTATTGCCATGGGCTCTATGTAAGGACCCCCTTGAAAGAGATGTGGAAATTGCAGAGAGTTCAAAATATGGCAGCCAGGCTCTTGTAAGATACTTTCCAGCAGGAGCATATGACACTTGGCTAAGTTCCATTGGCTCCCAGCTGCCTTTTGTGCCAAATTCAGGGTGTTTCTGATTGCATATAAATCTCTGTATGGCTCAGGTCCCTCTTACCTGAAAGAATGGCATTCTCCATATATTATTCTAATAGAAGGGAGTATCTGTAGCTCAGGGTTGAACTGTGGAGTTTGTG